AGTAATTATTCATTTTGAATACATTTAAAGTCACTATTAGCTTGGAAGTACCTGCCAAATTTGCTGAAATTCTTAGCAATTTAGAAAAATATTATGCAACAATAATGCCCTTGCTCTGGATGATATAATTTCCTATCAGAAAAAAGTTTCTACATATTTTCTAACTCTTATTGAACTTACCACACTGCTTAGTATTTTCAGTGTCTACCAACCCTTGATCTCATCTGATGGCCATAAAGGACGAAAGGACTGTCTTAATTGCCATTTCTCAGCATACATCTAACTAAATCTTAAACAGAACATTGCTCAAAAACTTAACTCATATTTCTCAAGCGTTTTACAACACGGAAACAGGAGCCACGATGCCTAAGTGGTTTTCAGGAGACCAGGCGACATAAGTTAGCCTGCTGAACCTGCCTGGGCTCAGAATATATGAACATGGTACCTTGGTGTGCTGAGTACTTTGGTCTGGTGGAAACTCGGAAGCTGCAGAGGCAGGAAAAGTCATCTCTCATCTTCCTCTGTCCACCTTTTGTCCCTGAAGGAGATCACAGAAGCTGTAATTCCTTTTCTTTGCAACAGGCTATAAAATTTAGGAAGGTCATGCTGACTACATCATTTCTCTTGTGGAAACAATCACAAGTGTCCCAGCTTGGACTTGGACTCTGGAGCAGTCTGAACAGACAACTTTTAGTCAGTCTGCCTGCGTCGGCTTATGACCACTGGCTCGTACTGCCTTTGTATCTGATCATACTTCTGTGTTCTTAGTCATGTGTAAGCATAAAAATACAGTTTTCCTTTGGTCTTTGAGAATTCCTGAAGGTGCCTGTGTCACATAAATCTTTGATAAATAAATTTCTTTTGCTTTTATTGATCAGCTTTTGAATCAGTGTGTCAGCCATGAACCTTGTAATGGATGAGGAAATGCTGTCATTCCCCCCCCCCACTAAATCTTTAATTTTGTTTAATTCTTTTGGAAGCAGCTCACTGAATCAAATGACAGAAGGTAGTTTAGGTGACTTTAGAATGAAGGACATCTTCTTCATTTGTGTACTATAAATCAACATCTGTGAATTGGTTTAAATGGACATTTAAGTCATTTATTTGAAAATTTAAAGAAGCGAGACGTGAAATTCAGCTACCCAGCAAGCTTCTGAGGTTTGATTATTCAAATGATTAAGATGCTATTTGTCAACTCCAGTTTACCATCCCTTTTAATTATATAGATAACCAAACTAAGAACGGCTAATTTTGTCTCCTAACTATTAATTGTTTGTAATTACCTACAGATTAAAACTGCATGTGCAATTAACTCTAAGAATTAATTGATACAAGGGGATTGATAAAAAGAAAGCAGAATGAGCTTGACATCAAAGAGGCTTGGGGACTGGGGACTGCCGAGCCCAGTGGTGTCTTTTGTTTGTCTTCCCCTAATAAAGATGCATTACGTTTTCCTTGAGACTTCTTTCGGCTCGTATGGAGGCTGCTGAAGGCACTATTTCTTAGCAACGTTTGCTTTCCTGGTTGATTGAAACATTGTATCTGAAGTCTGAATTTATCTTGCCAATATTCAGACGAAGTGGACAAATCTATTATTTGCAACATGGAGGAAATTTATGTCATTACAAAAATTATATGGTAGCGTGAATGTTCTTTTTTTTTTTTAAACTAGCTAAGTCTCGTTTTACCTTTATTTTCTCCTTCATTGGCAAAATATATCTGTGATTTACAGTTTTCTTTGAATCATTTGAGTAATTTAAATTGCTAAAATAACTATACTTTTTAGGTTTTAGAAAAATTTCCACCTGTGTAAATAATTGGCACATTGCTATTGACATTAATCTGAATAAACCTGGAAAATAAATAAAAGTCACATCTAATTTGAAACTATTAGGCTGGCCAGATAGCTCAGCAGACTAAAGCACCTGCTTTGGCAGAGCACATTGGCCAGGGTTCGATTCCTGGCATGCCATGCCAGCCTCACCCCTGGGGCAAGCTGAGACGGTGATTGAGACTGGGCATGGTGGAGCGCACCTGTAATCTCAGCACTTGGAAGGCTGTAAACAGGAGGTCAGTAGGAGTCTGATCTATGTAGTAAGACCCTGTAGACACTGCTCTAAATTCATAAAAAATAAATAAATAATATAAAACTATAAACATTATGGTTATAAATATCAAGATGGTATTATAAAGAAAGCAATAAAGGTCTGGTGAAAAATGTTTGGTCCTGGAATAAAGCACAATTTTAGATCCTTTTTAAAGACTTTTCTGTTATTTTATGTATTTGTCACTTTTCTTGCATAGAACTTTTCATTTCCACAGTTTTTCTGGTTGGTCTTTCAGCCAATGCCAAGTTAGTGCTTGGATCTAGGATCTCACGTACACACACTGGGGGCATAACATTCTATTTTGCTTTTTGGAGAATACAAGTTAAAGATTCATAATTAAGGCTATGAATGGCAAAGAGAATACAGCAAAATAGCAGGAACTAGTGCTATAATAATGTTATTAAAAAGAGTCTGTAAGTATTCAGGAAATGTAGTCAGGAAGATAGCACTATGAAGAGTGCTCAAAAAGGATTTCACAAAATATATTTTTCAATGTTCAAGAACAATTGCTATTTAATTGACTCCTTGTTAAACTGGTGCAACTACTTTCCCTCCCAAATTTTGGCATTGTATTTTCCCAGATAGTTAAATCTAACACTATTTTATTCTGTCCTTCTGGCTGTTAAGTAGGACTCCTAATAATGATTTTATGTTTCTACTTACCAGCAGCTAGCCTGTTCTTCTTCCCATGCACCCTTGCCTACACACATGCACCTTGAATTCAGAATCTTTGACTTTTCCCTTGTCTTCTCTGTAAAGGCTGTTGACTCCTGGAAGTTTCCGTGAAGACTCAGTCTGACATGTGGCCTTGGTTTCCTTCGAACTTCAGTTGTAACTTTCGACCGACTTTGTGGAGTAAACTGGAATTTGGTGCGAGTCACCTTGTGTGCCCGTCTGCTGAGGAGGGACTCATTAGCATACATCACTGTGTGAATGATTACCTTGAGGGCTTTACTAGAGGCTTTACTGCTTTCTCAAGTGGAAAAGTTATAGCTATATTTTCTAGTGTGATACTGATATACTGGAAAAATAATGCATGGTCTTCTTGGCTGCCTGAGCCTGTTTTGTGGGTAAACAAGATAAAATATTTGGAAATGATGTGGACTCTGTTGTAAAAATAAATTGTATAGCTTGGTGTTCTGCTGTGAGCAAGGAAGATGCTTGCTGTGCCTGTGAGATTTAACCTTTCGGGAGCAATTCCTGGAGTGTTTACATAGCTTTACTCACCTTATTAATTAATCAGAAACAGAACCAGGCCAGGAAAAATACTGTCCTTTTCCTCAGAAGAGTTTATTAATTTACAAGGGAGATTGGAAAGAGAAGCACAGTTATCTAAAATAGGTGAGATGCTTATTGAGGAAGTACATTCAGGGAAGTAGGGATGTCGGGCATAATGCTTGTGAGTTGGAGGATACTTTGAATTAATCGAGAAAGCCTCATAATATTGTGAGGGCTGTAATACACATATACTAACTCTTAGGTTATTCTTTTATACCCTCTTAAGCTTATAAGGGTCCCCAATTAAGATATAAATTTATGGCCTTTTCCTTGCTATTTTCCTCTCAGACACTAATATTCTCAGGTCTTTACAAGAGTCTTACTATTGGCATTTGCTTTCATTAAAGAATTTCATTTATTCCCTTTGAGTTTGGATTGAAGTACATAATTTCTTATGCTGCATTCTTTAGAGATTTTGCTTTTCTATTATGGACAGAGACTTTTTTGACTGAATAGAAGAAATGCATATAGAATTAAAATGTGGTATGATGTGTGTATATTTGTCGTAATAGATCTAATGTAACACATTTTCATTGTTTTATGTTACTTCTTTGTCCCTGTAGGAAACCTAACTTGATACTATAAATAAATTGAAGCAATTAAATGCTAGTAACTATAAATGAGTTACTCCTGAGTTTTTCTAAATTCTATAGTTAACCAATCTGTGGATGGCTCTATTAAATTGAATGTTTCAAGAAAATATACGTATATGAAGAGGTATTAGAAGGAAACTTTGAAAATAGTTTAATTTATTTGGATGGCAGGATTGAACTAAAGTTGTCTTTTTCTAAAATAATTAGCATTTCTGAGAAATGGGCAGATAAGTAAATATGTTTTGGGGGCAAGATATTGGGGGTTGAACATAGGACTTTCAATGTGAAGTAACATCTCTATCTCTTTTTACTTTTTATTGTGAGACAAGAGTTTTGCTAAGTTGCTATAATTGCTCGGGCTAGGCTTGAACTTGCACTTGCCTTGGGCTCCTAGAGTGCTGGCGTTATAGGCATGCACTAGCATGCCTGTCTCTCAATGCATAAATCCTATATCCTCTTCATAAAGAAAAGTTACTGCATAAATCCTATGAGACAACTACCACAAGTCAGAAAAAATTGAAGTATCCACTGTCTAACCTTTTGCTCTTTCAGTATTTACCTTAAAACTTTGAATAATTCCATTTACCTTGCAACTGCAAAACTTGTGCCTTCATAATAATTTGAAATTTTCTTTTGAAGCACTTATACAGTAGGTACAGTTTGTTTTCATTTTGATAAGTGCTATTTCACAAATATGATTTCACTTCAACCTTCCTTTTAAAAAGTAGTCAATGATCTTGAAGAGAAGAAAGAAATAAACCTATTAGTTTTCAGATGGGCACAATATGCAATAAAAACATGAGAGCTTTACTGTGTGAAGGAGCCAATGAAGTGAAGCCTCTCTTTATAATGCTATCACTTCTTCATTTGTCAATGATCAGCTGACAAAATGTGATTTGGACACAGAATACTGAGCTCATGAAAGTGATTTGCTTCCTTCTTTGTGCCATTAAGCCATATACTTTGTGTGTGCGTTTTTCTGGACAGATATTGTTTTAAACTACATTGATATTTCTCACAGACCAACCATTGGATGATTGGAAAAGAAGTGTGTTAAGAAAGTCTTTCCATTTATCTCATGCCTCCAGTTGGAGTTTGTCTGGAGCATCAGGAATATTTCCAGGCTATTGGACCGTAAGTACTTATAAGACTGAATTTACCAAAATAGTGGCTTAGTTTGAATGAAAACATGAGATTTTGGGCTGGCGAGATAGGTCAGAGGACTAAGTGCTTGTTTTTCCAAGCACAGGGACCAGGGTTTGATCCCCAGTTCTGCATGTTGTACTGGGACATGCCAAGCCAGTGAACTAATTTAGGCGTGGTGGCACACGCCCGTAATCCAGCACTAGGGAGGCTGAAAATGGGAGGATCACTAGGAGTCTGAGCTGCATAGTGAGACCTTGTACCAAATACATAAATGAAAAAGAAAAGAAAACATGAGATTTTACTATGTACCTGTTTCATTACTAAGACCATTTTCTTTTGAAATACATCTCATTGTCTGAAGCAGTATTTTAGTTCAGTTTTGTGTAAGTCCTCATGCAAAATATCTCTATAAGTTTTATTTAGTGAGAATTGGCCAAAGTGATTGTCACATGGTTTGGCTCAAATATGATAGTACAGCAACTGGTTTTGTATCAGTACATGGACTAGTAAGAGTGTAATGAAGATAGTGGAGAATGAAGAGATTAAAGCATTCTTCCATTAGGAAGAATGAAAAGAAATCCATAGTCAGTGTCATGACTGTTGTAGCCAAGGAAAACAATACGATACAGGACACATAATTTATAGGATTACTTTATAGTAATCACCCAAGGAGTCAAGTACAAAAGAGAGCAGGAAATCTGTCCACAAACTAAAGACTAAAGAAGCTAGCTGTAGGCCTGGATCCTGTAACAATGCCCTCCAGTAAGTTCAACTAAATGTCTAGAGCCCACAACAATGTCTTACACAGGATCGTGTCATGGATCTGCTCTGGGAAGACCCAAAGGTCAGTGGTAAAAGCTAGAATGTCTGTGCCTGCAGGACAAAGAGTCTGTGCTAGTGGGCTGCGGGATCTGCACTGGGCCAGGAAGTGACACTCAAAGTAAGGAGTGGAGCTTTTCCAGAAAGTACCACAATCGTGCTCATCAACAGCAAGCTTTCAGGCTAGTTTGATGATGATAACAGTCAAGTTCATATCAGAAAAGCTAGTGTGACAAGCCTCTTTTGGATGTTGAACAGAGTACCAACTTCTCTCCCGAACCAGAAAGTGATGCTCAGCGTAAGGACCAGAGATCTCCCAAAGTTCACACAGGCATTTTCAGGAAACAGTAAGGTCCTGAACTCCCCCAAGAATGAGAACACCCGTGTTCATCAGGAAAGCTGGCATGGCAAATTCCTCTAGGAGAACCTTGAGTCCCAAGAGAACCAATGGCTCCACTTCTTCCCCTCCAGTTCTGCTTCTTATGTTGTTACCAGTAACCCTCAGGTGGGCCTCCCACACCCAGCGCCATACTGGCTCAGCTCAGCTGGGTGTTCCAAGTTGACCCCAAGTTGTCAGTGCATCACAATGGCTTACCCAGTGTGGGCGTTTGGAATAGGGACCCTAAGTGAGGACCTGTGACCCTGTGGCCTGAAAGTACAATTGGGGATTTATTTATCTATTTCTAAATACATGTACTAGAAGAAATTTATGTGTTCATATACCTTTAGCAGCAATTTCTTATAAGACAATAAAGCTTTTATTTCCTAGCATTATGTTTTATAGTGTCTGTATATAGTATTATGTCTGGGTTTTTTATACCTCTCATGTGTTTTGTTTGGTGTTTAAATGTCTGTCTTTTTTAAATCTTTTCATATTGCTGACTTTTCTTGACTTGTCATTTGATGCTATAGCAAATTATCATAGATTAGAAGGATTAAGCAGAAAAATAATTTTCCTACAGTTGTGAGAGTCAAAGATTAAGATGCTGGCAGAATTAGTGTCTCCTGAGACTACTTGGCTTGCAGACAGCTTCCTCTGTGTTGTGTCTGTGTTCTTGCTTGCCCTTTCCTCTGGAAGCGTGTGTCCTCCTTCCTCTTGCTTTCTGGCTCTCTTTTGTAAGGACGTCAATCATGTTGGAGTGGAACTTCATCCGTATGGCTTCAGTTGGCCTTAATTATCTCCAAATGAACTCACACCGAGGGTCAGAATCCTAACCTCTGAGTTTTGGGAGGACACACTTCAGCCAGCAACACTACAAGACAACAAGTATTTTAGATTTCCTCCACCTATTAAATAGTTCTTGATATATCATTTTAAAAATGTTTTATATTTTTCCTGTAAACCAAAACTTTAAAATTATGTCACCACCATACTTAGATTGTGGTGCTAAATCCTTTGTGAATCTAATTTACTAAAATTAAATGATTACTATCCTTTTTTATATACGGAAATTATATGGATGATAAGCAAAATTGTATGAATTCAGACAAAAATTACACGAACAATACATTTCTTAAAATCCTAGTAGTTATGCATATTATTTTTGGAATATATTGATCAATTTACTATTTTCAGAACATATTGTTTAATCATAGCATAGGACTATACTGTCCTTGCTAGCTAATGGGATATTTAATTCTTTTTTAGGTGGATATATAATTATTTTGTTGTGGATATATAATTCTAATGCCCTTTATATCCTTATCAAAAATAGAGTGCATAGAAGTTGTTTTTATTACATTGTAGATAAAAGACTGAGCTGAAATTTCTAACCTCCCTTTCCTACCCAGGTTTACATCAACAGTTTAGAGACTGCTCTGAGCTGTACTGGGCAGTGTGTGAATCATGTTTTGAGCAATATCTCTGGAAAGGGATTACTTGATTGTGAGAGTTTCATTTGCAAGACTGACAGTGTTTATTCATTGCTGAGGGGGAAACTAGAAACAGTTTCCATCACTGAGAAGCCTAAGCGATTTATTTTAGGGAAGATTCCCTTTTATTTATCCTTCAAAATAGTAACACTCAGTAGCAGGGATCAAATGTCAAGTTTAAAGTTTTTTTTTTTTTTAAATTGATGAATTTTATGAAAGTTTGTTTTCTAAAATATTTTATAATTTTCCATTTAAACTATTCTTAGCTATGGAGTTCAGTGGCATTAAGCACACCCACATCACTGTGTAGTCACCATTACACATTGCAGAACATTTTACATACCCAAACTCAAGTCCATCATGTACTTGTTAATCTTTAATTTGCTTGATCCATCCCTCAGTCTCCTGGCAGTCACTATTTTATTCTGTCTCTATGAATTAAATTACTCTAGGAACTTCACATAAACAGAATCATGTAGTCTTTGTTCTTTTTTGACTGGGCTAATTTTACTAAGCATAATATCTTAAAGGCTCACCCCAGTTGTACAATGTGTCAAAATATCCTACCTCGTTAAAGGCTGAATGATATTCAGTTGCATGCATTCAATACAATTTGTTTATCCATTTAATCAGCAGTAAACACTAAGTTACTTTTCACCTTTTGAGTATTTTCATTAATGCCATATTTTTTTCCAGTACTGTAGTACTCTACTTTCCACTAGCAGTTCACTAGGGTTCTAATTTCTCCATATCTAAACCAACACTTGCTATGTTTTCTGATGTTTCATATCCTAATGGATATAAACTGGTAAGTCACCTTAATGGGAATTTGTTTAATAAGTTAAGAAGGCAAAATATAGCTAGGAAAATGGGGAGCGAAGGAGCTGCATTGTTACAGGAGGGGAAACAATAACCAGTGAAAACCATTGCATGAATTTTTTGGAGGATAGCTAAATAACAACACATTTTGCTTTGCAGCATTCTTCCAGCTTTGCTACTCTAATAAAAGAGCAAATACGTTTCTTTAAAAGGTTTGCTAACTCTATGATAATGTATGAGGCAATCTTGAAACTTACAACCTTCAGGGCTTATTGTTACACTAACAAAAATCTTGGTGCCAGTTCTAGCACAGGCCTGGACAGGGACCAGTAGTAGATCGTGCCAGCACAGGGTAGCCAGAAGCTCTCCCACACACTCACTGCGTCTGGGCTAGAACTGTGTCTGGGGGGGTTCCTGGAACACGGAAGAAATTTCTACTGGGCAGGCAAGGTAGTTGAGGTGCTG